GACAAAATGTCAGAAAACTGTCACAATCAACGGTGCATGTAAGCTGCGAAGAGCGGTTTAATTTTTTTTTATTTTTTGGTTAACAGCTCAGCTGTCTTAATTAACTTTTAACTTAGATACAACATTGCAGTAGTAACACTACGTAGAACACTTCCAGTAATTACGATACCACTGAATGCTTACGTTACTTAAAATACTACCCCTATTACTCTTTATACAAATCGATTCACTCGTTAAAGACTATTTACAAAATGATTTTTCTCTTAAGTTAGCCTACAATACAAGTTATATGATGCTTACACTACTTGCATTATATCATCAAAACAAAACAAAATCTTTTTGGGTCCAAAACAAAAAAATGGTTGAATAGCCTATGATTTGATGTAAGGACTATTATGTTTCCCTTTACATTTTCTCGCTGCTCATTTGTGAGTGCCAAGAGACACCGATACGACTGCTAGGTCCTCTCCAAATGATTCTCTCATCTTAGCGCCTTAGATGAACGACTGGTGAACGGGTGAAGATATCATAATGGATGATTTTTACTAAAAAAAACTTAAGGGAAAAAACGTTTTCTTCCCTGTTCGAACTCCAAGGACCGAGTCAGAAATTTCACAAATAGAATGGATGTAAAATATGTCTCACTTTAGATATAAACAGGAAAAACCCTATTTTTGAATATTATTAAACTGTTATTGCGTTTTGACAAGCTCCTGTCACCATTAATGGATTTTACCACCAGCTATCGCATGATGTGTATTGCTGTGTAAATATCATTCGCAAGACGGAAAATAACATGAAAACTTCCCTAGAACAACCACATTAGTAATAAGCGTTTTCCGCATAAGCTGTTGCTTACATGTCTCGGCCGAAAAAAATTCTTAGTATCGTGACATAAAGTCATTCATTGCCGCCGGAATGATCGAGGTCTTTGGCTCTGAATAACCTAGAGTTGTTCACATAAAAGGAAAAAGAGGAGATTTTTCGCCTTTTCCTCGATGGGAGGAAAAAATTAATAGAGCGCTGACGGCGTTGACTTGGCGCAAAAATCCGCAGGATTGTTCCACGAAACCTCCTTCGAAAATGAATGTCAATCTGTTGTTTGATTTCGCTTTTGTTTGAAAGTTCACGCGCCTTTCGTAGAAAGAAATATCACATCGGAAATTCCAAGCTTTCAGAGGGTGTAGAGAAAAAGAAAAGCCACGGCACATCTGGAAAATTACCCACACGTCTATGACGGTTATAAAATGGTAGAAGATTTTCTTCACTAATCGAAACGCATAGACCAACCAGTTGAAAGCGAATAAGTGATTCTGACTATTTCTTTTTATATCGCTGCTTCGTTGCCTTTCAGGAAATTTCAAAGATTAAGTTGTTGTCTATAATTGAGTTGAGCAGCTTTTGAAATGGAACGAGTGATTAGAGCGAACGAATTAATGAAATTATTAACGAGTAACTAAAAATTGTACAAAGCATTTACCATACCTCCCCTTAAA